TCTGTGCCAGCTACCTGGGCCTATCTCCCCTCTGACCCCATTTCCCTCTCCTGCCCCACCCCTCCAGGCTCCCTGAGGACCCGTCAGCCCCGTTGGTGCCCTCCAAGCCGTCCAGCAGCCTCTTCCACAACTGGCCCAAGGCGGGACCGGGCAGCAAGGCGCCCAAGAGTGTGGAGTTCGACATCCGACCGGCGCTGCGGCGTGCACCCAGCCCCGCCACGCTGCCCACGGAGCACAAGATCAGCCCGGCACCTCGGCCCTCCTCCCTGCCCATCTTGCCCTCGGTGCCGCTCTATGGGGGGGTCTTCGACCTGCGCGGCTCCCCCACCTCTGGGCATCCCTTCCCTGACTTCCCCTCAGGCAGCCGCTCCCTCTCGCCCACCCACTTCCTGCCCCCACCCACGGACAAGCCCTTCGGCGCCAAGCCCCTGCCCTTCTGGACCAAATTCGACGTGGCTGACTGGTTGGACTATCTCAACCTCGGGGAGCACCGCGACCGCTTCCTGGACAACGAGATTGATGGGTCCCATCTGCCGTCCCTCACCAAGGAGGATTACATCGACCTGGGTGTCACCCGCGTCGGCCACCGCATGAACATCGATCGTGCCCTCAAGTTCTTCCTGGAGAGGTGATGAGAGAAACCCACTCCCCCACCCCTTCCCTGGCCCTGCCTCTCCTCCCCATAGTGCCCTGCCCAGCGTGAGGGGATGATCCTTCCTCCACACACACACACACACACACACACACACACACCCCCCGCCAGGGCACAGATGCCTGAATGTAGCTGATTCCCCATTGCCAGGAGAGATTTGTGGGTGCCTGGAGGGGGCATTGGGGAATGCAGGGGACTGGTAGCTAGGCTGGGTTCCTGATAGTACCCCTTGTCCCCCACCATAGAGATGGGCCCCACATAAAGACCCTCCTCTGTCATGGAAAGATGGGCCTCTGAATCCATGGGGGCAGCCAGGAGGCTGAGGCCACGCTGTGGGGTGCAGCAATAAAGCCTCAATGTGAATGTGCTCAGCTGTGCGTTGGCTCCCATAGGTACATACACAACATGGCTTCACGCTGTTGTGTGCCTAACCCTGTGCTGTTGTCAAACCCCACGCTATTGCCTGAGCCCATGTGCACACCCCCTCTTCCCCCATTGTCCGTGCCTGCTCACCACTGCCCGCAGGTGCGTGCGTGCTTCACTCTGCTGTACCTTGAGCTATTGCAAGTTGTTCACTGCCCCCTCCTCCTGCTTTATTACGCTGCTCTTCACATGGGCACCCTCAGCCTCTGATTACTGCAGGGGCACGTGCCCTTAGGTATATCATTTTCCCTTGTGTGCCTGCTGCTATGTTACTTATGAATGCACAGTCAGCTGCCCCCCTGCTTGCACCAGGGCTCATGAGTGGACACTCGGCTGCCCCCCTACTTGTACAAGGGCTCACGAGTGCACACTTGGCTGCCTTCTAGCCCCCCCGCTTGCACCAGGGCTCTCGTGCGCTTGCTGCACACAGGCTCATACTAGTGCTGGCATACATAGCATGTCTGCCCATTGCTTAAGCTGAACTTATGCCATTCATGTGCACGCTTGTGTACACAGACATGCTCTGCTCCGCATTGTCTTTTGTAGGCACACTTATGCTTGTACCTACCTGCTTGCTTGCTTGTGTTGCTCTGCTCTGCTGGCTTGGTATCCACTTCTCCTCCCACCCCCAAGATGCCGCTCATACTGGCTTCACCACCCCTCACACTATGCTTTTGCACACGCTTGCTTGGCTTTGCCTCTCTCATTGGCTGCTGGGATGGGGGGACTGGGGTGACTACCCCTCAGTTTGGGATGACTCCACACCAATGGAAAGTGATGGGGGAGGGATTTCCCCCCCTAGTGGGGCAGCAGGATTGGCGGGGGGGCATCAGGTGTGAGGTGCAGAGAGCAGGTACCTCCAACCCCTGCAGCAGGCAGGGGCTGTTACTTTGGGGGCCTCTCTACCCTGTCCCCCACTCCCTCCTCTGTTCTCTCCCTGCAAAGTCCTGGCTCAGGGTGGGGGGGACCCTGCGCTGGGGGCTCTCCTCTCCCCCCCACGCCCATGCTCAGCTGCCAAAGAACGGGGGAGTTGCAGGGGGGGTCTGGCCCTTCCTCCCTTACCCCCCAGCCTGCAGATCAGTGCCGCTGTGACGGACTCAGCTCTGGACCGTGGTGCCCTGGGGCCAGGGGGCACTCAGCTGCTCAGGGGCACCCTCTTTCCTCCCCGTTTCGCTGTGAACCCCAGTGTGAAGCTCCGTCCAGGGGTGGTGGTGGTGGGGAAATCCCCCCTCCTCTTGCCCCCAACACACTCACTGCATCAGGGATTGTGTGATACTGTGTGTCTGGGAATGGTATGCCCACCCCTCCCATGCTGAGGCCATGTACCCCACTCCCTACCCCTTGTCCCATGCCTGCCCCGTGGCCACGTGAGCTCCCCCTATTTCCGTGTGCCACGGCCATCTGCCCGCATTCTCCTCATTGTGGTCACAGGGCCACTCCATGCCACCCTGTCGTGGCTTATATGGCCTCTTCCCCCTGCCCCCCCCCACAGCATGGCTGTGGCTCCCCTGTTCCTCTCCCTGCGCCGTGGCCGCGTGGCCGTCTCTAAGGGCTCTCGTCTCGTCTCATCTCGTCGGACCGTCCACGCCGGCCCCCCCTCCGCGAGGGAGCGAAACGACTAACACTAGAATGTCTTCCAGATGCATCTGAACCCCACCCCCTTTGCCCTTCCCAAGAAAAGCACCCCTAGCCCTGTCCAACCTAGCACTGCAACTCTCAGCCTCCTCCCTACAGTGCCACAGGACACCTGGGTTCCATCCCAGCTCCAGGAGGGAAGTGGGGCTCTGGTGCATTAAGAGCAGGGAGTATTGGGCAGGCTGGATACTTGGAATCAATCCCAGTTCTGGAAAGGGAGTGGGGTCTTGGGAGAGGTCAGAGCAGAGAGCAGTGGGAGCCTGGAGCTCCATGGCCTGGAGCAGCTGGGGCTGAGAGCTGCAGTGCAAATCTTCTGGCTCCTGTCTCTGTCGGTTTAGTGTGTTAGGGATAGGGGGGGAGCTCTTTCTCCAGGATTGGGTGTGGGGGCAGCAGAGCTGATTCTGTGATGGGGGCTGTTTGGACTGATCCCTGGCTTGGGGAGGGGGCTGGACCTACACTGGAAGGCCCTTCCCCTTTGGTCCATTCTCCTATGGGCAGCAGGGCTGGAGGCAACCCAAATCCCAGTAACAGCCCAAGCACCTGTGCTGTAGCATCCGGGTGACAGGCACAGTCCACCCCACACCACCCCACCCCACCCTACCTCTGAGCCTCTGTGCTGCTTCTCCCCTATGGGAGACATCCATGCTCAGGCACAAGCTCCCGTGGGAACCCAGGTGTCTTGGCTCCCAGCTCTCCCTACTCTCATCATGGGGCCCTGCTGCACTTTGGGCCCACCCAGAGTCCGGGGTAGAACCCAGGTGTCTGGGCTCCTACCCCTTCTGCTCTAATCCACCAGAACCAACATCCCTCCCAGAGCTGGGGTAGAATCCATGCACCTGGGCTCTCACCCCTGCTGCTATAACTCAGCAGTCCACCCATCCCTCTCAGAGCCAGGGGAAGAACCCAGGCATCCAGGCTCCCTGCTTCCCCTTGACCCCAGCAGAGACTCAGAGATTGAATGTAATAAAATTTGTGCCAATTTTGAGATGGGTGTGGCTGCCTAAGCTACCCCCCCCATGTCCCCTCTGTCTGCCCCTCCTTCCTCCTCTAGCCCCTGAGACTACCCTGGTCCTGGCTCTAACTGCTAAATTGACCCAGCTGCCAGCCCTGCCCCCGTGCCTCCCATCCACCTCCTTGTACTGCTCCCTCCACCTTGCCAGTCCCCGTCCGTTCCCCTGCTGCGTCCCCTCCACCACCCGTGACTGGCGGCCCTGTCTCCAACTCTGACCCGTGTATAGAGGAACCAATGTAATTTACTGATTTTATTTGCAAATATAAACTCTATGGGATACAGCAGTTGTTGGGGGTGAGTTTGTGTGTGTACATGCATGTGCCGGGAGGCTGTGGGGATGTGTGGGCCTGAGAGTGTGAGTTGTGGGTGAGTGTATGTGCACATGTGCTGGGAGGCTGTGGGGATGTGTGCGCCTGGGAGCATGATCATGTGTGAGCCCTATAAGCACTGTCATGCAGCTGGACCTAGGGCAGGGTTTGTTGGTGCTACACCATCCCAGGCTGGTGCTACGCATGTCTGTGCATGTACAGACGTATGTGCATTCGGGCCTGGCAGAAATGTGTGTGCACATCTGTTGCGAAGCAGCGTGCCTAAATGTGGGTGAGGCTGTATGTGCACATGTAGCTATGTACACTAGGAGATGGGATGAGTGTGCCCATGCCCCCTGGGTGAAGATGGGTGGTGTACAGGCCTGGCTGGCAAGCAGGGTGTGTGTGTGCCAGGTGCCTGTTTTCCCCCTTGAGGGGTGCAGTGGGTTGAGGGTGCATGGGGGATGCAGCACCCTGGTGCCCTCTGCCCCTGGGACGCCCACATTCCTGCCTGCCCACCTAGGGAATCTGCAGGGGGCAAGAGCTTCCTACTGCTGCCCCTGGCAGCCCTTCCCCCTCCCCATTCATGCCTTTTCACGTGGAGGGATTTCAGGGGGGAAGTAAACCATCCAATCAGCAGGGGAGAGGGCTGAGGCAGGGTGGCTCATCCAGCCAATCGTGGTGGAGACAGCCGGATGCAGGCGTGGCCATGCAAAGTAACTTGGAGAGGCGATTCCCCACTCAGCCCTGCCCCCTGATGTCACGCCCCCGGTCCATCTTCAACTAGAGGACCCGCGCACTGAAACCTGCTACTGCAAGCCACGCCTCCCCATCTAAGGACCCGCCCCTTCCTCACAGCCACGCCCGCCTCGCTCCACCGCCCTCCCTATACCCTGGGGCCCCGCCTCCAGCTCCCATCAAGCTCTGTCCCTTTATTTAGCCCCGTCCTCCCTATTGCTGCACGGCTTCCTGGTCTAGCCTCGCCTCCCAGGTGTGCAGGATTCATCCTTGGATGACACGCGCCCCTTAAACGGTGCTTGTAGGTGCACACGTGTTTCCCCCCCCCCCCACGTTGGAGTGAGCATGGGTGGTAGGGGCTGGGAGTGGTGGGGGGTCCCATGTGGGGTGGAGTCTGACCCACGGATGACCAAGATCGGGGGTTGCACCTGCATCCTTCCCACCTTCCCTTAAGCCCCAGCCTCGCGCACAGGGGCTGCAGATCCTCCGGCGGGAAGGGGTGGGACCGACTGGGAAGGGGCACGACTAGGGCAGAGGCGGCTGGGACCGAGATGTAGGGGGGGATTAGGGCTGGGCCCCCACCCCGCAAGCAGGGCGCCCAAGCCCAGGCTACTGCAGCGATCCAGGGATAACACCCCCGTGCCCTGCACCGCACCTCGGGAAGATCAGAATGGACCCCAGGCGTCCTGGATCCCCGTGCCCCCCCTGGTTCCCCGCCCCAAACCTGGGGAAAGAGCCCAGGAATCCCGGCTCCAACCACTGCTCCAGCCCAGAGGGTCCTACGCCCTTCCTAGAGGCAGGATAGCACCCAGGAGTCCGGGCTCCCCAAACCTCCCCTCCTGGAGCCGGCTAGAACCCAGGTGCCCTGGCTTCCCGCTCCCCACTCCCAGTTTCCTGCCTCTCCTAGAATACCCCCCCTCCGATTCACACTCGATTTCACAGCTGGGTAATTAGTGTAGGCGCCTGCCGCTAATGATCCTGGCTGAGGAAGGGGGAGGGGGCTCCTGCTTCTAGCCCAGCGACCAGGAGGCAACTGGAGGGCCCCCCTCTCTGTGCCCCGCTGCAGGCAAGTCACTTGTGACTTGCCCCACTGGTGGCTCCAGGAGATCCAGCCACCCTGTGTTCCTGCGGACCCCCGACTGCTACAACACCACCCAAACTGGAAGGGACCCCAGGCTACTCCTGCCCCCCCCCACTCCAGGGACTGTGGCACATCCCTGCAGCCTGCTGCAGCAGCCCCTGTCCTGGGTAGCGGGTCACTGTCTCTGCTCCCTTGCTCTGATCAGCAGGGCCCTGCACCCTGATCCACAGCCCTCAGCCTTCCACACTGGCAACACTCCTACTCAAGCCTCCCCTCCCCAAGCCTTCTCTCCTCTCCCCTAGATCCACAGACCCTCCTACCCCCACTCACAGCCCCACCCCACCTTGATCTATACATCCAAGACCCTCAACCCCCTTCTACTGCCCTGCAAAACCATCCTCCAGCTTGACCCCCCTCCCTCCCCATCTCATTAATTCCCTGTGTGTCTCAGGAGATTAATTGGCCACTGAGATAATTAAGTTAAAAGCTGAAGCCAGAGATGGAACCGCAGAGTCACTGGCACTGCACCAGGGGGATGGGGAGCCAGGGCTGGGGAGAAGCGGGGGAGGCCGATTGGGGTTGCACACCCTGAAGGGGAAAGATGCCTGCCCCTTCCCCCCCACCTCAGTCAGTGGCCCCAGGGGCAGCACCTCCAGGAGAGCACAGATCTCTGCCCGTTCCCCATGTCTTATGCCAGGCAGTGGGCCCAGCCCCTGCCCATCCTGCCCTAGCCAGTGTGGCATGGGAGCAGCAGAGTCTGGTGGGCCCCCACGGCCTGGCAGCCCTGGTGCTGCGCTGCGGCGGGCTCTAATGAAATAGGCTTTCTGGCAGCAGGCCAGGGAAGTGGGGCATCTCGCCCCCCGTTAATGCATCGCTGGGGACTGCTGCCAGGAGTCTGCGGGTGTGGGAGGGGTTGGGGGAGGGTGGGTCCCCTTGGGCATTGAATCCTGTGCCCCTGGCTCCCTGGTGCTGGGCGGGGGTCCCTGCCTCCCCTTTGCACTGCAGACCCGCAGTTCCCTGCTCCTTCCAGCCGCATCTCCCTGCTTTTCCCCTCTTTTCCCCATCACTGACCTGCCTATCCCACTCCTGACCTCCTCACTCCTTTCCTGACTACCAGCCTGGCCTGTTCTCTAGCCTGAATGGGGGAAAAGATGCTGAATAGGCCTGTTGCCATGGAGACTGTTTCCATGGAGACCGCCGGTCCTCACCCCCTGCTGCCGTTATTCCTTCAGGAGCTTCTGGATGCATTGGAGGTGGAGGAGAGGAGAGGAGAGGAGAGGAAGGGGGGGGGGGGGGGGGGGGACTGGGAGGTGAGCACTCCTGGATTCTATCCCCAGCTCTGGGATGGGATGGGATGGGATGGGATGGGGGATCTGGTGGGTTAGAGTGGGAGGGTGGTGGAAGCAGCTGGGAGCTAGAATGCCTGGGTTTCAATCCTAGCTTTGGGAGGGGAGGCAAGGGGAGGGGAAGGGAAGGGAAGAGGGGGTCATTTGGTGAGTGAGAGCAGTGGTGGCTGTGAGCCAGGATGCCTGGGGTCTGCCCCAGCTCTAGGTTGGGAACCAGGGGTCAGGTGTGTTAGAGAAAGGGGTCTGGGAGCCAGGACTGCTGGGTTCTAGCCACACCTGTACTGGGGGCAGAAGGAGGAGGGCAGCTGGGAGCCAGGATGCCTGCATTATTTCCTTGCCTGGTGGAAAAAGGGGCATGGGCTGGTCAGTCTGGCCTTGGCTGTCAGGCTGTGGCTCCCCCCCCTTTCTGAGTAATTGCTCTTTCCTATCCTGGCCAGGCCCCTGGGCCTGGCTGTCACTCAGTATCAGTGTCAGGTACAGACAGAGATGGGCAGAGACATAAATGACAGCCCCCTGCCAGTGCCAGAGCTAACCCACCCCTAGCATAGGGAGGGCACATCCACACCATGAGGGGGCTGGGACATGCATGTATGCACATGGGGGAGGGAGGACTCAAGTAGGCTGTGGGTGTTTCTGAGTACTCACATATGCACATGGGATCATGTAGGTGTGTGCACATTCTGGCCTGTGTATATGGTGCTTGTTCAATGGTGAACCACACAGGTACATTGCTCACATATGTGCAAGCATGCTTGCGTGCACACTGACATGTACACACCTGGTCCCTTTTTCATGAGTTTCCCTGAGCCCCCTTTCCGTCTGTCTGTCTGTTAGTGTCCGGCAGGACCCATCTTGCCTGCTTCCCACTGGCTTCAGCACTTCCCTCCCACCCCTCACAACATCTTCTCTGGTTTCCTCTCCCCCCACATCCCCTGACTCCTGCCCTGGCCTTGAGGGCTCCTGGAAGCAAGGCCCTCTGCTGAGACCCAACATCGCCTGTAAGGCTGGGGGTACCCAAGTGCAAGTGTACGTGTGTGTGAAGAGAACACCATGTGTGTGTGTGTGTGTGTGCACATGTGTTAGTGTTTGTGGAAAGTAGCATGGGTGGATGAAAGAGTATACGTGTGTGTGTGTGCATGTATACATGTTTGTTTGCAGAGAACACATCTCACACGCACGCACTCTGTATGTGAGTGGTTTCATGTCAGTGTCCTTGGGAAGTTGTGTGGATGCATGCAACAGAGTGTGTATGTGTATGTATCACTGCCCGTATGTATGTGTGCACACCTGTGTATGTGCACAATTCTGTGTGTGAGTGGAGATGTGTTAGTGTCTGTGAGAAGTAGTGTGGGTGTGAATGAGAGTGAGTGTACATGTGTGCATGTGTTTGTGTCACCATGAGTGTGTATTAGTGTGCATGTGTGCACAACTGTGTGCAGAGAACACTCCCTGCACATGCATGTGTGTAAGTGGGTATATGTTAGTGTCCATGGGAAGCAGTGTGGGTGCATGCAAGAGAGTGTATACATGTGTATGTGTGTGATCACCAGGGTGTATTGTGCATGTGTGCACAATTGTGTTTGTGTGCAGAGAACACCCCCAGTGTGTGTGTGTATGTGTGTGTACATGTTAGTGTCTGTGGGAAGTAGTGTGGGTACACATAAGAATGAGTATATTTGTATGTGTGTGTATGTTTCACCACAGTGTGTATGTGTATGTGTGTGTGCTGGGCACAAGAGTGTTACAGGGACTCATGCAGCCCATGTGTGTTAGCATGAGATACCCCTCCCTCAGTTGCTGTCCAGCATATCCAGACCCCAGCCTCCATGTGTGTCACAGTTTGCTCTTCACTCTGTGGTTGTGTGCTTGCTAGTAGGAGGGGGCCAGGTGTGGCCATGTGTGACACAAGCACGGGTGCTGACATGTGTGAGAGGAGGAGTAACCATGTGTGATACAGGGCAGGGCTGGGTATTACTGTGAGTGGCACTAGCTTGAGGAATTGAGTGTGAGCAGGTGTGCAAGACCTTGTACACATGTTGTCTTCAGCCACTTCTTCCTGCCCCTTTGGACTCCCTTGCCCTGCACTGAGATGCAGCTGGTTCTAGGGTGGAGCATGTCTGTGGGGCTCCCACAGTGCCCCTCCCTTGGGTGCTGCCCAGGCTAAGGGGGTCCCTGTCTCTGTTGGTGGTAGGCCCTGGCCATGGCAGGGAAACTGTGCTATGATAATGGACCCTCAGTGCACTTCACGCCAGACACAGCTGCATTTCAGCTCCAGTATAAGCAACCCCTGTGCCCCACCCTAGAGGTGGCTGCATCTCAGCACTGAGTGAGGCGTGGCTGGAAAACTGTCCCCCACCAAAACTCCCACCGCAGTCACTTGAGCTGTAGGGGTCAAGGGTGACGCATGGGGGGTCCCCAAGGACCTGAACATGAGAGCGTGTGTGCATGTGAGAATGTGTGTGTGTGCACACACGTGTGAGCCAGGGATCCTCATATGCAGTCACATCTACAGGCACAAGGAAGGATGAGTGATTGCCAGGGGTGGGGGGGTGGGGGGGGTTATGGGTCTCCCACAGGTTATACTGGGACCCCCTTATCCAGCACGGAAATGCAGCCACCTCTGGTGTGGGACACCAGCAAGGGGGCTACATCTACATGGGCTGCCTTGCTCCTGCATTGAAATGCAGCTGGCTCTGGGGTGGAGCACATGTCCGTGTGCGTGTGAATCTGTGTGTCTGCATGCTTGTGTGTATTTCCGTGTGTGTGTGTGTGTGTGTGTGTGTGTGTGCGCGCGCCTGGTGCTGAGATGTAGCCACCCCTGGGGTGGGTTAATTACCCTGCCCCCCCCCCACGTGCCCAGCGGGGCATTCCCCT